CCCCCTCCCCCCGGACTTGACCGACTCAAGTCGTGGCTGATCGCGACGGCCTCACCTTTTGCAGATCGAGCAGTCGGTGCGGATCGCCGCGCAACACCGCCCACAACTCTCTGGCCCTCGCCTGCGAGTCCGGCCCCTCGGCAACAGTTCGGCCAGTCGCCGCCTCGCCCGGCAACGACGCCTGGCTCCTCAGGCCGACGACCGAACTGTCGCTGAGCCAGTGAGTCCGTTGGCGTTTGGGCTGATGCGGCTGTTGTCGTTGCTGCTGCTGCTGCTGCTGCTGCTCTTCACCATTTTCTTCCTCTTCCTGTACCTCTTCCTCCTCCTCCTCGTCTCCTTCAACCGCTTCTTGTTGTTGCTGCTGGTGTTGGTCGCTCCGCTTACTTCTCTCTTCGGCCGGTCTCGCACCGATGAATTGCCGCAACTCGTCTACATCACCCTCTCCCTCTTCCTCCTCCTCCTCCTCCTCCTCCTCCTGCTCAGGGCCTGCAATGTCGTCTGCCTTGTAGCGCTCTCCTCGGGACTCGACCGATCCGGGCGGGGTGAGGTCGGACAGTCTGAGCAGGTCGGCGTGTTGCTGACGCAAATGCCAATCAGCCAGACGATCGAGACCGGCCAAAGACGCGCCTGTTTGGTGCTCTCGCTCCTCCGCCACACGCGGTGGGGGGGGGGCGGCGTAGACGAGGTGTGCAGACATCGTCAGCTGCCCCAGACTGGCCAGAGTTGTGGCGCCGTCGGCCAGCCCAGCCTCGACTGCCTTGACGACATCTCGAGAGGGAGACGTTTGTCTCTGGCCTGCTGCGCCCCCACCCTCTTCCGCGTCCTCGTCCTCCAGCACCACACTCGAGTCGTGTGAGTCTGCCAGCCATTCGTTCAGATCTTCTTCTTCTTCTTCTTCTTCTTCCTCCTCCTCCTCCTCCTCCTTCTTATTCTCGTCTTCTTCTTCTTTCTTCTCTCTCTCTTGGTCGTTTGTGTCTCCAGTCGCTTGGTTACCGCTTTCGACAAATGCCTCCTTCGATCTGTCGCCATGCGCCATCTGCCTGTCGGCGTCACTGCGAAACCATACGCAGTCTGGCGTTGCCTCGGCAACTGCGCCCTCTGGTTGCTCCTCCAGCCGGAATCGGCCATCACAGATCATCTTCGCTCGGTCGTCCTCGACACTGTCGAGGCGCACTTGTTGCTCTGGCGCCGGCCATCGGATCGCCTCGTCGACTCGTTTCTGCCGGTCACTTTGACGCGACTGGCGCAGTTGCCACCGCTTCACGGGACTGTAG